AAGACGAAAAGAAAACACCATATTGATACATGTTGAAATCCAATCTCCACAAATATCCTTAAATGACTATAATTTATAACAGAAGCCATTAGTTTATACCAACAGCTTCACATACTTTGTTTTTCACTCTCGCGTGGTCATGTGTGACGTCACGAGCTGCGACGAGATTTTCCGTTCCGCGTCTCGTATATACGAGTTTGTCGTTACTTGGAAATTTTCATGCAGCAATGGCGGACTATCATCGTTGTTTCGTCCGTGTGTCGTTTGATTTATTGAAATTGTCATCTTTGATAATGGCTTGTGCTAGCCGAAAACTTAGATTGGATTTAAACATGTATCAATATGGTGATTTCCTTTCGTCTTTCAACGACAATGTGATTAAGCTTATCAGACAATGTGAATGGAACTTAAAATAAATAGACAAAACTTGTCTATATTATTTAATGAAACATGCATTAATATATATATATATATATATATATATATATATAAACAAAAGCGATACTTAAATTTCTTAGACGTCTATCTCATAATGTTCAGATGGTTCAAAGAACAAGGTACACAATTCTATTATATGGAAATTTTAGACAGCCGTATAAATGGAGAGTTCTTATGAAAGAATAAATTGGAAATTGGATGTCATCAACGTAGAAGTATTTAAGAGAACCCAGTTGATCAGAAATTAAACTATAGTTCGCAAATATATTTGGCGATAGAGTGATCATGTTGCTCGTATGATCGACAGCGTGATTCCAGAGGACATTTTGCATGCTAACAAAAAAACCAGTCATCCATGCGTCAAAGAAGAGTGATAATGTTGGTTTGAAAGAATCCCTGAACTTTACAAATATCAGTACATATGCGAGTTGCATGCAAATGATCGTACCAGGTGGTGGAAGAAATCTCATGACAGAAATGTTGTTCTCGAAACGTCTCGAATTTCAAAAGAAATGTTGACCGAAAAGCTATTGACATGGATCTTCCAGACCATATCGGTGACAGTCATGACTCCAGCCGAGATCTGTGTTTTAGGTTTTGCAAGTCCCTACAGAAGTTAGTGAAGGAAAACGAGAAGAAAGGAGTTAAATATAAACTTCAAGAAGACACAATGCATAATTATGAGGTCCAAATTCAGATTACAAATCGAAGATACCAAAATCAACCAAGCACAAAAATTTATACATATATGGGAAGTGTTCTAACAGAGGACGGAAAATGCGATACTGAAATCCGAAAGACGCATTGGAATAGAGAAAGATGCCTTTCAAAAGCTAAGCAAAGTATTAAGAGATAGAAAAAAAACTTAATTAGAAACAAAGAAAAGTTTACTAAACTGTTACGGGATATCGATCCTCCTATATGGCAGTGAATGCTAGACAACCCTCAAAGGTGATGAAGAGACTTGAAGCAACAGAAATGTAGCTCTACAGAAAGATGCTGAGGATACCATAGACCGAACATTTGTGCAACAACGCGGTTTTAGAGAAAACGGAAACAAAAAGGAAACATATTTAAGATCAGGAAGAGGTAGTTGCAATCTCTGGCTTACATAACGAGGAAGAACATCGAATAGCTTATTTGACGACATTGAGAAAATGGATGCTGGAACAGAGTTTAGAAATAAAGAAAATACAGAATTTATTTATAGCTGCAAGAAATTGTGGAGAGACATGTTCTCCGACGTCATGAGGAGAGACGACACATAAAGAAAAACCACAAAACGGCATCAAATACTGAGAATTCGTGTGACATTTGTGGAAAACATTACAAGTCTGCTGGTTGGCTGTAAAAACGATAATGGTCACATAAATAGAAAAAAATGACAACAAAAATACACGTTTCTCATATCTGCCAAATTTATGCTTGAGTTTCTAAAATTTTTTAAAAGGATTTATGCCTGAAGATTTAAAATTTTTAAAGAGAATTATGCTTGAGTCTTTAAAATTTTAAAAAGGCGTTGTGCTTGATGCATTAAACTTTTTAAAAGGCTTTATGCTTGAAGTTTAAAGTTTTTTAAAAGGACTTATGCTTGAGGTCTAAAATTTTTTAAAAGGATTTATGCTTCAGGTTTACAATTTTTTAAAAGGATTTATGCTTGAAGATTTAAAATTTTTAAAAGTCTTTATGCTTGAGGTTTTAAAATGTTTAACAGACTTTATGCTTGAGGCTTTAAACTTTTTTAGAGGATATGCTTGAAGTTTTAAAATTTTTCAAAGATTTTATGCTTGGAGTTTTAAACATTTTAAAAGGATTTATGCTTCAGCTTTTAAAATATTTGAAAGGCTATATGCTCTAGGTGCTGTTTTTTTTTTAAATGTTGTCCGGTGTAAAGTGCTATATCCGTTCAAAGAAGTTACAAAACTGTATAAATGGATTGTCATAATTCGACGTAAGCGACCATCATATCTGTGTATAAATGTTTAGGTATATGTATATACACTAAATTTAATAATATTTGATATTCAATCATATGTTAAGAATAATATTTTCATTAATAACATTATTTGGACTGTTATCCTTATCAGTGGATAAAGGCGTTGGTTAGACCCAGTAACTAGACCCAAAGAGTTGTGAGTTCAATGCCAGACTACAGCAGTGGTGAACACAAAAACTTGGAGAGTTGAGTTAAAGGAAAGGAACTGAGATATCTGGAAGAGGCATGGAACGTGGAAATAGAACAATCTACTCCGGTGGACGTAATAAAAGGTTCGATTTGACATTCCAATCCAAAGCAGGCCGGAGCGTACATCGTCCGAAACGTTGTGAATATGAGACAAGGATAACAGTCCGAATAATGTAAATAATCAAAATATCTCATATCAGAGGTAGAGACAGATATTGAAGAACAATTCCAATCACCTGAAGAAGACCGAGGCGTACAACGGCCGAAACGTTGTGAATATGGCAATGAAAATGAGGATAACGGTCCGAATAATGTAAATAATGTCACTGATCATAATACCTCATCTCAGAGATATAGACAGATATTGAAGATTAATTCCAATCACCTGAAGAAGACTGAGGCGTACAACGGCCGAAACGTTGTGAATATGGCAATGAAGATGAGGATAACAGTCCGAATAATGTAAATAATCAAAATATCTCATATCAGAGGTAGAGACAGATATTGAAGAACAATTCCAATCACCTGAAGAAGACCGAGGCGTACAACGGCCGAAACGTTGTGAATATGGCAATGAAAATGAGGATAACGGTCCGAATAATGTAAATAATGTCACTGATCATAATACCTCATCTCAGAGATATAGACAGATATTGAAGATTAATTCCAATCACCTGAAGAAGACCGAGGCGTACAACGGCCGAAACGTTGTGAATATGGCAATGAAGATGAGGATAACAGTCCGAATAATGTAAATAATCAAAATATCTCATATCAGAGGTAGAGACAGATATTGAAGAACAATTCCAATCACCTGAAGAAGACCGAGGCGTACAACGGCCGAAACGTTGTGAATATGGCAATGAAAATGAGGATAACGGTCCGAATAATGTAAATAATGTCACTGATCATAATACCTCATCTCAGAGATATAGACAGATATTGAAGATTAATTCCAATCACCTGAAGAAGACTGAGGCGTACAACGGCCGAAACGTTGTGAATATGGCAATGAAGATGAGGATAACAGTCCGAATAATGTAAATAATCAAAATATCTCATATCAGAGGTAGAGACAGATATTGAAGAACAATTCCAATCACCTGAAGAAGACTGGAGGCGTACAACGGCCGAAACGTTGTGAATATGGCAATGAAAATGAGGATAACGGTCCGAATAATGTAAATAATGTCACTGATCATAATACCTCATCTCAGAGATATAGACAGATATTGAAGATTAATTCCAATCACCTGAAGAAGACTGAGGCGTACAACGGCCGAAACGTTGTGAATATGGCAATGAAGATGAGGATAACAGTCCGAATAATGTAAATAATCAAAATATCTCATATCAGAGGTAGAGACAGATATTGAAGAACAATTCCAATCACCTGAAGAAGACTGAGGCGTACAACGGCCGAAACGTTGTGAATATGGCAATGAAAATGAGGATAACGGTCCGAATAATGTAAATAATGTCACTGATCATAATACCTCATCTCAGAGATATAGACAGATATTGAAGATTAATTCCAATCACCTGAAGAAGACTGAGGCGTACAACGGCCGAAACGTTGTGAATATGGCAATGAAGATGAGGATAACAGTCCGAATAATGTAAATAATCAAAATATCTCATATCAGAGGTAGAGACAGATATTGAAGAACAATTCCAATCACCTGAAGAAGACTGAGGCGTACAACGGCCGAAACGTTGTGAATATGGCAATGAAAATGAGGATAACGGTCCGAATAATGTAAATAATGTCACTGATCATAATACCTCATCTCAGAGATATAGACAGATATTGAAGATTAATTCCAATCACCTGAAGAAGACCGAGGCGTACAACGGCCGAAACGTTGTGAATATGGCAATGAAGATGAGGATAACGGTCTGAATAATGTAAATAATGTAAATAATCATAATACCGCATACCAGAGATATAAACAAACAATAATATTTTCACTCGCCAAAATATTTTCCACTAAATGCTTTCTTTTACTATTGCATTAGGTTGATTCATAAATAATTTCCGTTTTTGTTGATAAAATTTATCCATGAAAAATAATGTACAATTACATTTTATTTGATTATACATTCACTATTATTCACTTATGGCCACATGGCGTTGAAAGAACAGCTCCTGTATAATGTTAAGCAACGTTGAACCTGGTCACTACCTTGATGGATGACCACTTGGGCGTACCAGGTGTTATAAGCTTGGTTGTGCGAAAGTGTAATCTTGAAAGACCGGTTCCCGCACGATCACCGAAGCTAAGCAACGTCTAGTTTGGCCAGGACCTATATGGGTGACCGCCTGTTTGTAAGTTTGGCTGTGTGGAAGGTGTAATGGTCTTAGGGAAACATCAAGTTGAAACACCGGTTACCATAAGATCACCAAAGTTAAGCAACGTCGAGTCTGGTCAGTACCTGTATGGATGACCGCTTAGGAATACTAGGTGCTGTGAGCTTGAATGTGTAACGAATAACTTGGTATTTTTAATCGGAGAGCCGAGTTCCAATTCCCACTGGGTTCGTTATATTCACTTATGAAAGGCATGAATCCACGGTTTATCAAGTTATTAATTAGTAAGACATGTATCACTCAAATCATTATTATCGAAAAAAAAAACATCTTACAATCTAAAAATATTTGCTGGCTTTAAATAACATTCAAAGGGTTGATAAGCCGTAGAAATCGAATCAATCAACAAATAAAACTAAACTAGTTGTCACTTATAAGGTAGCACGTCGACACCGTTATATTAAAATTACACTGGCTTTGATGTAAATATTTTTCGAAGAAGATTTAAATCTGGCCTTTTAGATAATATTTAATTCATCAAAGCGTTTTGTAGTGATCGAAAAAATTAATAATCGATTGTTCAATATGGTGAATTGGATTGAACAGACCAACCGAATTCCAAAATACTTTCCTGTGTTATTCTTACAGTAAAAGGTCCTGCGTTGTCATTTGGGGGAATGACATTTTCTTTTGAGGAACGCCCAGTGCTTTTCGTTTAAACTTTTTATGATCACGTTGAAGCTGCCGTACTTGTAAATGTGTATTTAGTATTTCATTGCATTTTACAATCTCCCAATGAAAACCCCGACGTTCCCACCACGCCCTCAGATTTTAGAGTCACTTGTAGAGATTATCTTTGTTAATACACTGTGGTGAACATTGCATTAAACATTTTTCATCAACTCTTTATTTAAGGATCGGTTAGTGTTGTGGATTCCACGTTGAAATCCGGTACCAATAAATAACAAACGCCAGGAATGAATATAGGAAAATAATGTATTAAAGTAATAATACAAACTGGTAAAGCAGGTTAGTAGTTCCAGGAATACGGGTTAGTAGCAAAATATATATACAGTCTTTGGTATTGAAGTATCGCTGTATGACTTCTTACTGAGTCTACGTGCTCGCTCACTGTGACTCCTACAACGCTGTTACCTCACCCTCACTCTTCTGGTTACCTACAACCTTTTACTCTGTCACTCTCGACTTGACTCGACTCCTGCTCTCGTCTTGCTCTTGCAGTAGTTTATGTATATACTGGGTGAGTTCATTTGTATAAAAAGGGGAGAAAGCCTCAACAGTTAGTCAGGATTAAAACGGTAATTACGCATGACTCAACGTAATATTTAGCAACTTTGCACACAAGCGTGCAAGAGAACGGGGTAGGAACAAATAGAAAGCACGTATTTTCAAAGCAGTGTGCAGAGGACAAAATGAAGACAAGGCGAGAATTTCAAGTAGGGAACATTCCGTAAATAACCTCGTTTAATTCTTAACAAAACAGATCACGAAATATTTGATGAAAGCAGATTCCCACTAAACGATGATTATTATTATTATTATTATTTTCCTATCGCAACTTAAACCTAATAGACACTATACATTTATTTGGCAGTTTTCATAACAACTTAACTTAGCAAAGGTTTTCGGGTACCGTAAAAGTAATTGCTGCAGAAAATGAAATAATGAAGGAAAGGAATTTTTGGAGAGCCATGATCAGCTAGGTCCGTAAATAATATTCAATATGGCATCATGCACATTCATTTAGAGGAATGACATTTTTCCTATTGAGGAGCGCCCGATTCTTTTCGTTCAAAATATTTTTATGGGCGTGTTGCAGCTGCTGGACTTGTATATGTGCATTTAGTGTTTCATTGCGTTTTAAAAACGCCAAATGAACAATACTCCTTCGACCCGATCAAATACACATTACATTTTTTTCATAAAGTTTAGTTTATGGAGTCTTTTGTCAGTCAGTTGATTTTGCATTGAACGTTACCGTGTGCGACCTATTTTTCATGAATTATTAAATATTTTTGCCAAGCAAGGCAAGAATGACACTAATATACAGGGAGTTACAGGGAGTGAACGTGAGAGAAAAGACCCAGAATATGGAAGACTGGGGAAAGGATAAAAGATGAACGGGATTAGACGATAGCGATTGACGTTGCATTTAAATTTTTGAAGATTGTATTTATGGGGGAAGCAAGTAAACGGAAGGGAGTTCCACGGTCAGGAAGTGCAATGGAAGAAAATGCTAGAGTAGAAATGGCGGTTTCATTTAGCTATTTCAACAGTAGGTGGCTGTGAAATAGATGCAAATCTCGTAACACGCTTAAATACAGATATTCGGGGCACCATGGAAAAAAGCTTGTCAGAGCAGTTGCCATGAAAATATTTGTAGAAAAGACAGAGGGAAGCCACATCAGGTCGGTGAGAAAGTGACTGAAGTCTAGATGCCAAGTCAGGATCGATTACATTACAGATCCTTCTTTGGATTTTGTCAAGAACCTAAAGGTGAATAGCAAGAGCACCTGACCAGATATAGCAACAGTATTCAATACATGGACGAATGCCCAAGATGGACGAGAAAAAAAAACTTCTGTCACGACACAGTGATGCAAATTTCGTCATAGTAGATGCAGCTATTGATTTGATGTAGACGTTCCACTTCAAGTCAGTTGAGAACATGAGGCCAAGAAGGTACACTGTGTTGCTCTCCATGAGTCTAGCATCAGCCATACTCATGGTGGGCTAGAAAGTTTCTATAAGATGGTCTTGTCTTGGAAACGTTAAAATTTACAAGCCATTTATAAAGAACTGATGCTGACAATCTGGATATGACAAAGAGAATATGTAAAGTTTGATTTCCCGTCAATTTGGGTGTGGGGGGGCGCAACAGATATGCGGGTTAGCAGAATGGAGCTGAAAATGACATGGACGGAATATGCGAAAAACAAGGATGTTCTGAATAAAATGAGACTGAAATGAACCTGTATGGTAAACCTGAGTTTCTTGAGATATTGTGAATTCGTAATCACCACACATAAATTCATGTAATCGGGACACCAGGGGAAAATCTCGTCAGAGCAGATGACGTGAAAATATTTGTAGAAAAGACAGAGGGAAGCCACGTCAGGTCGGTGAGAAAGTGACTGGAGTCTAGATGCCAAGTCAGGATCGATTACATTGCAGATCCTTCTTTGGATTTTGTCAAGAACCTCGAGATGAATGGCAGGAGCACCAGACCAGATATGACAGCAGAATTCAATACACGGACAAATCTTTTATTTGTAAATGTGCAAGATAGACTCTGACAAGAAACATTTTCTGTCATGACAAAATGACCCAACTTTCCTTTCAACAGATGCAATTGTTAATTCGATGTAGTCGCTCCACTTCAAGTGATTTGAAAACGTGAAGGCTTACTGTGTTGCAGTCCAGGAGTCTAGCTTCAGCAAAGCTGATGGCAGGCAGAAAAGTTTGTTTTTTTATATATATTTTAAGAAACAGAATGATACATTCGACATTACAAATGGTTCTCTCAAACTGAAATCACTTATGGTGCAATCTAATATTTTTGCGTTACTGTTAGTCGTCTGAAAAAAAAACTGGTTCTTTCATTAGCAGGATTTTTACCTCGGCGAAATCTGAAAGAAAATCGTGAATAATCTCGAAGAGGCTCAGAGATAAGCGATCGGAAAAGTAAAACGAAGCAAGGCAGATTAAGATTAAATAAGCCAAGATTCTTCGTTCACAGAAGTCTGAGGAAATGGTCTGAAGTTAGGTACAGACAGTCTTTGATCTGCTCTGCGGAAGTTGATGCGGGGCAGTGAGAGACGAAAATGATAAGGGAGCGAAGGTAAAGACGAAAAGAGAAACAATAGATAAGAAAAGAGAAAAGTAGACAAAGGTGAAAGAATAAGCGATGACAGAACAGCGGCGGAAGAAAAGAGAAAAGAGAGAAAAATAAAAGAAAGAAAGAAAGAAAGAAAGAAGTTGAAAATGTTATAAAGAGAGTGGTAGCAAAAGGAAAAGAATAAATAGGGGAGAATGGTGAAAAAGAAAGAGAAGAGAGGATGGGTAAAAGAAAGAGGAGCTACAAAAATGTGAAAGTGGTGGTGGGGAAAATATGTTCTTACGATGATTAAATAATACAACGAAACAATACTAAGAAGAAATGAATAAAATGGTGACTGAAATATGAGGAAGAATTTTAGGTTGGAAAGAAGGAAATATTGAAGACTAAGACGATAATGATCATGTTAAGTGGAAAACGAAGAAAATGATAAGATGGCAATAATAATAATAATAATAATAATAATAAGAAGAAGAAGAAGAAGAAGAATATCATGGCAAGTGGAAAACGAAGAAAATGATATGACAATAATAATAAGAAGAAGGTGAAGAAGTAGAAGAGGAGGAGGAAGGAGGATCAGGGCAAGTGGAAAACGAAGAAAGTAAGATGGCAATAATAATATTATTAATAATAATAATAATAATAATAATAAGAAGAAGAAGAAGAAGAAGAAGAAGAAGAAGACGATGACGATGACGATGACGACGATCATGGGAAGTGGTAAACGAAGAAAATGATAAGATGGCAAGAAGAAGAAGAAGAAGAAGAAGAAGAAGAAGAAGAAGAAGAAGAAGAAGAATATCATGGCTAGTGGAAAACGAAGAAAATGATAAGATGACAATAATAATAATAATAATAATAATAATAAGAAGAAGAAGAAGAAGAAGAAGACGATGACGATGACGACGATCATGGGAAGTGGTAAACGAAGAAAATGATAAGATGTCAAGAAGAAGAAGAAGAAGAAGAAGAAGAAGAATATCATGGCTAGTGGAAAACGAAGAAAATGATAAGATGACAATAATAATAATAATAATAATAATAATAATAATAATAAGAAGAAGAAGAAGAAGAAGAAGAAGAATATCATGGCAAGTGGAAAACGAAGAAAATGATATGACAATAATAAGAAGAAGAAGGTGAAGAAGTAGAAGAGGAGGAGGAGGAGGATCAGGGCAAGTGGAAAACGAAGAAAGTAAGATGGCAATAAAAATATTATTAATAATAATAATAATAATAATAATAATAATAAGAAGAAGAAGAAGAAGAAGAAGAAGACGATGACGATGACGATGACGACGATC